TGTTTGTAAAAATATATACAGTATGATGACCCTCGTGAACTGTCTCTTCCGGGTATAAAGTGGCAGGTATGATAACGGCCTCAAAGGTGTGAGACTGGCAGACACGTTCGACAGTAACTGAATCATTGCGCTCATCATCATCATCAAAAATAGATATACAAAAAAGCTGACTACAAAAGCTTGTTTTGTATTGTGTTAAAACATTATATATTGATTTTTTTTATAGAGTTTACCTAAAGCTTCTTTTTTCTCATTTTGAATGAGGAAATTACGACATTGGGCTGATGTTTGATGTCTCATTTTTATTTTTTATTTGTATTTGAATTAAGCAATTTGTTTTTAATTTAATTGGTTCATTCAGTGATTACAATAATGTAAGCCAACACTTTGTTTGTTTAGAATATATATAAACATGAATCACGAACACCTGCAGTGATTTATTTGCATATATATGTTTTTGTGTTTGTAAAGCAAAGCTGCTACGGTTGAAATAGTTGTTAAAACAAATGTTAACAAAAAAAGTTGGTAAAAAAAAAGATTAGGAACAAAGGCGGGGAGCCCTGGCACAGCCCCCTCTTTGACATTGACCACGGGTGGAAAAAGGACTGTGTGAAGGGGCGAGATTCACGAAGCTCTCTCTCTCTCTCTCTCTCTCTCTCTCTCTCTCTCTCTCTCTCTCTCTCTGCTTATTTTGCTTGTCTGTCTCTGCTTGCCCTCTATGTTTCCTTGTCCTTGCTTGCTTGTGTATGTCTATCTCTCTGATTGTATGTCTGTCTGGGGCTGTCTTTGTACCGACTACCCCGAGGGAAAGTAGGAATTAAAGTAACAAGTTACATAGTGTATACGAGTTACTCAGCCTACCTAACCCCCTTTGACTGTTGGGGGTGAGGGGTGCTTCATGGATCTTAGGGGGTGAAAAGGAGGGGGGCTCTCTCACCTTCCTTCCTTCCTTCCTTCCTTCCTTCCTTCCCCTCACCTCCACCACCATATCCTTTCTTCCTTCCTAATTCTCGCCTCCCCTACTTCCCAATTCTCTCTCTCTTCTTCACCCTTCCTCCTACTCCCTCATGCATTTCCCATTCTCCCATTCTTTCCCCCTCCTTCTACTCCCCCATCCCTTTCTCATCCTCCCATCCTTTCCCTCATCCTCCCATCCCTTCCTCATCCTCCTTACCTCCCCGCCGGCCCGCCACACGTGAGGGGAGAACACGCCAGACTCGGCTTAAAGAGGAGCTAGTGAGGGAGGGTTGTGGGTGGTAGAGGTGAGTGGCTACTGCTGCCGCTGCTGTTCGTGACATTTTGCCTGTGTGTGTGTGTGTGAGGGAGACAGACACTCGCACGTGTATTTCAACAGTAAGGAAGATTCACTGTTGGTGGTCGTGATATTTTGATTGGATTGTCTGATAGAAGTACGTCTGTGTGTCGATAACGGATGGTTGTATGTATGTATTGTGTATATGTTTGGATGAGTATGTGTCTGTGTGGGTGTGTGGGGGTGGGTGGGGGTGGGTGGATTTATACGTGCCTATCTGCCTGGCTATAGGTGTATTTGTCTACCTGTCAACTCTCTTTGTGCCTGATTGCTTTACCTTTTTTTTTTTTGTCTGTGACTGTAGGCATATGAGTATGTCTATTTACAGTTGTCTCTTTGTCTGTCTTCACTTTTCCTTTCATTTATTTTATCTCTTTGCTTGTGTGTGTGTGTGTGTGTTTTGTTTGACTGCCTGGGTGGGTATGTGTTACGGTTTTCCTTCGTTCACGTCTGCCTCCCTTCCTAACTGATTGACTGTCTGTCTTTCTCCCTGTCTCTATCTGTCTGTCTTTCTCCCTGTCTCTATCCCGCCCCTCCTGCGTGCCTGCCGACCTGCCCTTCTGACTGCCATTCTTTCTTTCTGCTTTTCCTACCTGTGCTGGACGAGCTTGCGTGTGTAGCCGCACTTAGGTCGGGCTGATGCAGTCACCGACAGCACTAAGCCCTCCAGCAGGTTAGGCTGACCCCGACTTACTTGCCCTGACCCAGATGTCCCCTTAGTCTGTCGCAGTCTAACCCCTGGACTGATCTCGGCTGACCCTGGCTGACCTCGACGGCTCTGACGATGTGAGGAGCCCCCTGCCCTTCTTAATGCTCTCTCTCCTGTGGCCGCCCTCCTTCCTCCTACCTTCATCCTTGGTTTTCAGTTTTCTATTATTTTTGTTTTTAACATTTCTCTCAACATCCCAGTCCCCTTCTCTTCTCTCTTTCCTTACACTCCTCCCCTTTCTTCTCTTCCTCCTCTTCCTCCTCTTCGCACCCCCTCTTCCCCCTCTTCCCTTTCCTCACCCCCTTCCCTCCTCTTCCCTTTCTTCCTCCTTCTCTTCCGTTTCTACTCTTCGCACCCCCCCTCTTCCCTTTCCTCATCCCCTTCCTCCTCTTCCCTTTCCTCCTCTTCCAGAACATCTCATTACACCAACTTATCTGTTATCTTCCTACTTACCTTTCAGTCCATTTCCTCTGCTTATTATCATCCCACTCTGCTTCCTTGTCAAAATCTCCTCCTTCCACCATCTTTATCTCTACTATCTGCTTCTTATTCGCTGTCTCCCTCATTTTTAAGGCCGTTAGCGAGACGTCCCTTCGTTCTTATCTTTCTCCAGGTTCGCTTTTAAGACGAAAGAGGGAAGAGAGAGAAAAGGGAAGATAAGGATGAATGAATGAATGAATGAAATGAGAAGTAGGTAGAGAAAGGAGGGATGGAGTAGAGAGAGAGAGAGTAATGATGATGGACGTAAAGGGAAAGCAGAGAGAGAGAGAGAGAGAGAGACAGAGAGAGAGAGAGACAGAGAGAGAGAGTGTGTGTGTAATGGAAAAGAGGATTAGAAGGATTAGAAAAAACAGAAAAGGATACCCGGAGAGATTACAAGAGGAAGAGGAAAGTCAAGGAAAAGAGGGAACAGTGAGAGAGGAATAATGCAAGGAGGGAAGTAAACACCAAAAAAGAAAAGGAAAAAGTGATAAATAAGGGAAATAGTTACGAATGAAAATAATAATAAATAAATAAATTTAATCAAGTGAGAGAAAGAAATAAATGAAGTGGAGAAGGAAAATAAAATAAGAAAGAAAAGTGAAAGAAATTTAATGCAGTGTTTATGTGGGCCAATTCGACTATGTCATTCCAAAGCGTCTGCATGTACGTCGTGTTTATCTCTCTCTCTCTCTCTCTCTCTCTCTCAAAGGGTCGTACGATAAATTTCCCTTCGAGTTGCTGATGTGAGAGTGCGTTTTATGTCACACAATCGCGATAAGATTAGGAAATACATTGTCAGAGGATAGTACGATAGTTCTCCTATACTCTAATTGGCTATTTAAGGACAATCTCTAATTGGCTCGTTCATGGTACTAATTGGAGATTATATGGGCTATGTTATGGGTTATGTTAAGGGTTGGGGGGGGGAGTAGTGTTTTAAGGAATGAAATGACGTCAAAAATGCGCCGAGACTCTACCAGATTCGCTCCCATGCCCTCCAAGAAATGATTAACTTTGAGATTTTTGGGGGAGGAAAACTTGATCTCGGGATACTAACACCCCGCTGACGTCATGGTAAACAAAGCTAGTTAACTCACTCTGAGAGGAGGAACAAGTGAGGGGAAGGGGAAGAGAAAGGAGGGGCAAGGGAGGACAGAGGAAGGAGGGGACGTCAGGAGCATCAAGGGAGAGGGAGGGAGAGGATTGGAGAGGGGCGTGAATGGGGAGAGAGAGGGAGGGAGTAAGAGGGAGGGAGGGAGGGGTGAGAGGCGATATGTTGCCTGGGCCGGAGGTAATTTGCAGGAGTCTGTACATTGTTGTTAATTTACGACTTGTGAAGTGTGTGAGGCAACCAAGGATTCATCAACGTTTGTATGTGTGTGTGTGTGTGTGTGTGTGTGTGTGTGTGTGTGTGTGTGTGTGTGTGTGTGTCAGCCAGAACCCAATATTTGACCCATCACAAATAAGTATATATATGTCTCATTGCTCCTTATATTATCTCATCTTGTGTGTCTCATGAGCTGGTAGTCGACCCTGAAACTCTCTTGATGTATAAACTCGGTCAAATGTACCAATTCGGCTTATTGCCAACTTGTGCTGTTTTGTCCAGAAAGTTTTATCAGTGCATCAGAGGCAGCAGGAGGAGAGAGTGTTGTATTGGTAGTCTCTCTCTCTCTCTCTCTCTCTCTCTCTCTCTCTCTCTCTCTCTCTCTCTCTCTCTCAAAAATACATAAATATACACCCACGTTGAATCCACTTACTGTATGCAATAATATATATACATCTACGTGCATAAATTTATACAGCCATAAATTATGTAGTTACCTGAAGATACGTACATATCCTAATCCAATAGTCATTCCCGTAGACAGCTCAGAAGACATACGGCTGGCAGGTATTCACTTCCACACATTCAGTACACGAACAAACCCCGACTACTGTACTCTAGGGAGATAACAAGCCTCGGTGACCTTGACCTTGACCTTTGAACCCAGTGATGTGAAGAGTACAGTGTTTGTTGATAGTGTGTGATTTGTGGTTGTTGTTATTGTTTGTATGTGTCGCTGTTGTTGTTTGTCTCTGTTGTTGTTTGTGTTTATCGTTGTTGTTGTTGTTGTTTGTATTTGTCGATGTTGTTGTTGTTGTTTGTTTTTGTCGCTGTTGTTGTTTTTGTTTGTCGCTGTTGTTCTTGTTGTTTTTGTTTGTCACTATTGTTTATATTTGTCGGTGGTGTTGTTTGTTTTTGTCGCTGTTCTTGTTGTTGTTTGTGTTTGTCGCTGTATGAGTTCTTATTTCGGTTCATATATATATATCTAGAGTCCCATGTAAACACATCTTTATATATCCAGTCTATGTAGTTTGGCTGTGTCTTGTATTCCAGTGACATACCTGTATACGCTAATGATTACCTGAGTCACAGAGAGAATATTTATACGCAAGCTACCTAACCTACGCCCTTTAACGCATTTTTTACCACTTCTTTCTTAATACTTTTAGGGGGGGGGGCGTAAAATGACACGAGGAACAGCCAACACAACTCACACTCTTGTACGTGGGCCTGAAAAGGGCGGCCCAAGTCAGAGAAACAAACAGATGGCTGAAGATGAAAAGTTTTATTGAGTTTTACGATTTGGTGGCAAGTTATATTGAATTTGGGAATTGTTAAAAGCATATACAGCAGCCAAGTGGTAAGATGTCCTTGTAAAAATACCTGGAAAATGTGGCTAAGTGTATTGTGAGTTTTATCCTTATTTTTTTTCAGCTCACCTGGCAGCATGAAGGTCCACCTGGCCAATTATAACGCGTCACCTTCTGTCAATCCAGCCGTAAACGTCAGCTTGTTAGCACTCTATTGATTCCAGTTTTCGACAATTATTTTTCTTCCCTTTTTTTCTGAATTATATCCAATTTTTATTCGTTCTCTTTCGGCTGGGAGGTAGAGCGATCGGTGTGCGTCGGACTGTCTTCCTATCTCTCTACCTTGTCTGTCTGTAATGAAAAAGGCAAAGGAATGTAAGATTAATTTTATGAATAAGTCCGTGATGTACATACCAAGATAAGTCCGTACGTCCGTTCTTGATGATGTATGTGGATGGGTGGTGTGGTGTGGTGTGGTGTGGCGTGGTGTGGTGTGGTGTGGCGTGGCGTGGTGTGGTGTGGTGTCTACCTACCAAGAGTGAAGTGCCGCGCCAGTATGTTCGTCCAACCCTACGTGGGCCATAAGACGGTACAATAAATCAGTCGACCATTTTTTTTACTCGACCGACTTTGGCAGAGTTCGTCACAGATGGTGTGTGTGTGTGTGTGTGGAGGGGGTTGAGGTGTATGGGCCAAAGATATTTACGCTTCGTTGATTTTTGGTTGAGTTATGATCCTTATATTTTATAAGAAGCCACCACACAGCTGGAGAGAGAGAGAGAGAGAGAGAGAGAGAGAGAGAGAGAGAGACTTATGAATAATTTTTTCGTGTGACTTTTGTTTTTTGGTCTGTCAAATATGGCCATCCCCGCAGTCATCTTGGATTTTGTTTAATAATATGGTATTAGTGAGGACTTAAGTGAAGGTGATGTACACACTTTTAAACCCTTGAGTGTGATGACCTAATCCTCTAAATACATAGTATAATTAGACCATTGAGTAAGACCATTAGTAAAGTGTCTGAATCTCTTGTAAACAGTGATGACGTTTTACCTTGATCCAGATGACACATACTCAGGTAGCCACATACTCAGGTAGCCACATACTCAGGTAGCCACATAACATCAACAATTCTTAAATGAACATAAATCACATTCACTTTTTTTCTGAATTAACAAGCATCAGTGAGTAATTCAAATATGTTAAATTATGAATGGTAAATAAAATGTTAAATTATGGATATTTTAACTTGAAAGGCACTTGATGTATTTTTCCCAGATATATTCACCCGTGCTTATAATCATCATTAATTAATAAATAGTACATCGCCACTATGCTAAGTACCTTCATTAACTCGCTCATTGTACCGTAATGCATCGATGTACTTCCGGAGGCGATCATATTAGCAAACTTAATTATAACAGGAATTATTTTCTTTTAAAGGCAATTCACCAGGTGTGTATGTGTGTGTGTGTGTGTGTGTGTGTGTGTGTGTGTGTGTGTGTGTGTGTGTGTGTGTGTGTGTGTGTGTGTGTGTGTGTGTGTGTGTGTGTGTGTGTGTGTGTCCTTTCATTTCTTCCTTCCTTCCTCCTTCTTTCCTTCATCCTCTATATTTCTTTCCCTCCTCTTCCTTTTTCCTTCCTTCCCGTCTCTCCTCCTCCTCCCTCCTGTCTTCCTCCTCCCTCCCTCCTCCCTCCTCCTCCTCCCTCCCTCCCTCCTCTCCCTCCCTCCTTCCCTCCTTGTCTTGTTAGCTCGGCTCCAGACCACAATATAGAGAATCGAATCTACCACGGAACGTAAAATTGGATTTTATTTTGTACAATGATTGGTGTTCCGAACGATGGTGTTCCTTGCGCTGGTTGGTGTTCCGTACTTTGGTTAGTGTTCCGTACGTTTGTTGGTGTTCCGTGCGTTGGTTGATGTCCTGTTGATGTTTTAGGTTCCGTAAGATGGTTCAATGTTCCGTAAAATCGTCTGTGTTCCGTCTCAGGTTTAACAGGTGCTTTGGAGAGACCATATAGTATTAACACACGTACTAAAACTGTCATGACCTTTTCTGACCCCTTTCCAGATCATTTTGTCCAAGAGCTTCTGTTTCCAAAATCCAGTCAGGCTAGGTTAGGTTAGGTTAGGTTAGGTTAGGTTAGGTTAGGTTAGGTTAGGTTGGTGAGGTTAGGTTAGGTTGGTGAGGTTAAGGTTAGGTTAAGGTTCTGGATCGCCTATATTAACGACCCTCAGTTAGGCTAGGTTAAGGTTCTAGATCTCATATTAACGACCCTCAATTAGGATAGGTTAGGTTAGGGTTCTGGATCTCTCTAACTTAGGGAGATCATTTAACGTAGGAGACCGTGAGGCTCAGGAGGCAGCGAGGAAGAGTCTTTATTGCCAACGATAACTGGCTCACTCCCTAGTTAATGGACCGGATGTGTATAGCTGGCTGCCGATAAACTTGGCTTAGGGTGTAGCTGACTGGCTGGCTGGAGGTGTAGCTGACTGGCTGGAGGTGTAGCTGACTGGCTGGAGGTGTAGCTGACTGGTGGTGGGTGTAGCTGACTGGCTGGTGGTGTAGCTGACTGGCTGGTGGTGTAGCTGACTGGCTGGAGGTGTAGCTGACTGGCTGGAGGTGTAGCTGACTGGCTGGTGGTGTAGCTGACTGGGTTTGTGATGAACTAGAGGATTGTATGGGTGTAGAAGTGTATATTTAGCTGGCTGGAAATATAGCTTACTGAGGACACAGCTAATTCAGGATATAGCTGACTAGGGTCGTACATAGTGTATCCCTCGGTGGCTGACCATACAAGAATGAGGTCAAGCTTATGGGCTATCAGTCTTATTTGTTCTCTCAGCTGAAGCTAGTCGCCTGGCTCAGCGTCTGTGTGTGTGTGTGTGTGTGAGAGAGAGAGAGAGAGAGAGAGAGAGAGAGAGAGAGAGAGAGAGAGGTACAAGTCATTATTATTGTTGGTTTATATGTTGGCGATACATACGAAGCATACAAAATCAATTTGGTCTCTCTCTCTCTCTCTCTCTCTCTCGCCTCACTTATTCGATTTGGGGTTCATATAAACAAGCACAATTTGGATCACAGAGGTCAAAGGCTTCTATATTTCGACTTGTTATGAAGCAAAATGGTTCACTTTTACCGAGGGGTTCATTGCATTCCTCATTGTGGGTTTAAATGAAATAGAACCCCTGTGAGAAGTGACTGAGATCCGGATTCTGGGGTTCACTGCCTTACCCGAAGTTAGGATGGTTCATTTACTCTTAACTCAGGTTTCGTACAGGAGTGAGATTCAAAGAGTTGACTGCCTTCTTCATTTCGTGTTTATATGAAGGGAGTTACGACTCTTAGGAAGGGAATGTGAGACGTAAATTGGTGTTTATAGTCGGCTGTGTTGTGGATGGCTCATGATAAATATCGGTGTTTGTCCAGATACCGTGTTGATGTTTATGACTCTTCTCAGTGTGTGTGGGGGTGGGTGGGGGGTGGAGGAGGGGTTGTTTGTTTTGTATGTGTGGAACAGGAATGGGTTATTGTTTGTTTTTGTATGTTTGAGAGGAAGGGGTTTCTTTCTGTGTGTGGGAGGGGGAGGGTTGTGTGTTTGGAAGTGGGTTTTGTCTGTGTGGTGGAGTGTTTGTGTGGAGGGGGGAAGTTTGTTTATTTAGGTAGGTTTAAAACTGCGGCTTATCCTCACCTGCTGTTTTTTGTTCTCACCTTTTATCTTTCACATTACCTGTCTCCCTCATTACCTCCTCTCCCTCACCTCCTCTTCCTCATTACCTGTCTCCCTCACCATCTCTCCCTCATTACCTTCTCTCCCTCACCACCTCTCCCTCATTACCTCCTCTCCCTCACCACTCTCCCTCATTACCTGTCTCCCCACCTCCTCTCCCTCATTACCTGTCTCCCCACCTCCCTGTAACTTGTTTATCCCTGAATCGAAGCTCTGACTAGGGAGATGGATGTCTTCCCCCCCCACCCCCATGCACCACCTCCTCTTCCACCTGCACCACCTCCCCTCTCCCACCTGTACCACCTCCTTTCCTCCCCTTCTGTCCCCTCCCTTCCTCCACCTCTTTCCTCTCCGCCATTTACCCTATTCTTCTTTCCTATCTTTTCTTCTCCATTTCTTTTCCTCTTCCTGTTTGTTTTCCTTTCCCCTTCTCTCTTCATCCCCCCCTTTCTTTTACCCTCCCTTTCTCTTCCTTTATCTCTTGTCCTCTCCCTTTCTCTCTCTTCCTCTCCCTTTACCTCGTAGCGTTGTTAGTTGAAATGTTTACCTTCCGTTTCTATACCTTAAATAAATTCACAATATTGTTTATAGAATGACCTGTGTGTGTTTGACCTCCCACCTTGTATCGGGAATGAACGACGGAAATAACAAGGACAGTAAACACGGTCCCAATACTAGTGATGTTTTTAACAATATCCGCGGAGTCGTGGCTGTCACTCCTTCCCCGTGTAGAGATCGAAGTGGAGTTCCTCAAACCTTTGGCCGGTAAGACTGGCAAGGGCGGATATGGAGGTCTTTTGTGTAGTAGTGTGAGGGGAAATTCAGGTGGGCGAGGGGAAGGTGGGTGTGAGGGAGTGTGAGGATGGGTGGGTGTGGATGGGCGTAGAGAGGTGGATATCTTTTGGATGTAGGGGTGAGAGGACTGTGGGTGAGGGGTGGTGAGTGTGGGTGAGAGGAGGTGGATGTGTGTTGGATGTGGTTGTAAGAGGGATTTGTAGTTGGATGAATGGATGTGGGTGTTTGGATTTATTTAGGCTGGTGTGTATGTGTGTGTGTGTGTGTGTGTGTGTGTGTGTGTGTGTGTGTGTGTGTGTGTGTGTGTGTGTGTGTGTGTGTCGGGTCTCTCAGCGTGGTGTGTAGGAAGCAACAGTTATCTCCGGTGCCGTCCCTCACAAAATAAAACTATTACTTGTTACTGTAGGGAAAACTTACCTAAATGTGTTGACTTTTTGTTATGTCGGCGCTGCTCTT